ACGGGCGTCGCGCTCGTCACCGGCGCGCCGGTCGATGGCGTCGAGTCCATCTCGGTCGAAGAGGGCATGAACCTCTGCTGGGGTTGAGCCCCGGCGACATCGGCCGTCAAAACCGCTAACATGACGGACGGGCACCGGCCCGTCCGTTTCGATCCTGCCCAGCGAGCGCCGTCATGAACCCCCAGGATTACGAAGCCGCCGCCTCGACCAGCCCGACGGAGATCGCCTCCTTTGCCGGCCGCGAGCAGACGCCGTTGCAGCGCTTCCAGCATCTGCTGCACCAGAACCCGGCCTTGGTTCCGCTGATCGTCCTGGTGCTGTCGGTCGCCGTCTTCGGCGTGCTGCTGGGCTCGAAATTTTTCTCGCCTTTCGCGCTGACGCTGATCCTGCAGCAGGTGCAGATTGTCGGCATTGTCGGCTGCGCGCAGGCGCTCGTCATCATGACCGCAGGCATCGATTTGTCGGTCGGCGCGATCATGGTCCTGTCCTCGGTCGTGATGGGCCAGTTCACGTTCCGCTACGGCCTGCCGCCTGAGGTCGCCGTTGCCTGCGGGCTGTTGTGCGGCACGCTGTGCGGCTTCATCAACGGCTTTCTCGTGGCCAAGATGAAGCTGCCGCCCTTCATCGTCACGCTCGGCATGTGGCAGATCGTGCTGGCCACAAACTTCCTTTATTCGGCCAACGAGACGATCCGCTCCCAGGAGATCGAGGCGAACGCGCCGCTGCTGCAATTCTTCGGAAACAAGATCGAGATCGGCGGCGCGATCTTCACCTATGGCGTGATCTTCATGGTGCTGCTGACGCTTCTGCTCGCCTATGTGCTGCGCCAGACGGCCTGGGGGCGACACGTCTATGCGGTCGGCGACGACAAGGAGGCGGCCGAATTGTCGGGCGTCGAGGTCGATCGCGTGCTTATCTCGGTCTACGCGCTGGCCGGATTGATCTGCGCGTTCGCCGGCTGGGCGCTGATCGGCCGCATCGGCTCGGTTTCGCCGACATCGGGCCAGCTGACCAACATTGAATCCATCACCGCCGTGGTCATTGGCGGCATCTCGCTGTTCGGAGGGCGGGGATCGATCCTGGGCATGCTGTTCGGCGCGCTGATCGTCGGTGTCTTCACGCTGGGTTTGCGCCTGATGGGCGCCGACGCGCAATGGACCTATCTCCTGATCGGCCTTCTGATCATCGCCGCCGTGACGGTCGACCAGTGGATCAGAAAGGTGTCGGTGTGATGGAACAGCGTGTCGATCCCATCCTCAAGGCCAAGGGTCTGACCAAGCGGTATGGCCGCGTGACCGCGCTCGACGATTGCGACTTCGAACTCTATCCGGGCGAGATCCTCGCTGTGATCGGCGACAATGGCGCCGGCAAGTCGACGCTGATCAAGGCCGTCTCGGGCGCCGTCGCGCCAGATGAGGGCACGGTCTGGCTCGAAGGCAAGCCGGTGCGCTTCCACTCGCCGCTCGATGCGCGCGATGCCGGCATTGAGACCGTCTACCAGACGCTGGCCATGTCGCCTGCCCTGTCGATCACCGACAACATGTTCATGGGCCGCGAACTGCGAAAACCGGGCATCATGGGCAAATGGTTCCGCCAGCTCGACCATCGGGCGATGGAAGCCTTCGCCCGCGAAAAGCTCAACGAACTGGGGCTGATGACCATCCAGAACATCAACCAGGCGGTCGAAACCCTGTCGGGCGGCCAGCGTCAGGGCGTTGCGGTCGCCCGTGCCGCCGCGTTCGGCTCCAAGGTCATCATCCTCGACGAGCCGACGGCCGCCCTTGGCGTCAAGGAAAGCCGCAAGGTGCTTGAACTGATCCAGGACGTCAAAGCGCGCGGCATTCCGATCATCCTGATCTCCCACAACATGCCGCACGTGTTCGAGGTGGCCGACCGCATCCATGTTCACCGGCTCGGGCGCCGCCTGTGCGTGATCGACCCGACAGACCATTCCATGTCCGATGCGGTCGCCTTCATGACAGGCGCCAAGGAACCGCCTGCGTCGGCGCTGGCGGCCTGATGGCCGACACGCGGCTGGACAATCTGGCCCGCGTTCTTGCCGCCGTGCGCGCCCGCCGTGTCCCAGGCCGCAGGCTGATGGTGGCGATTGCCGGCCCGCCCGGATCCGGCAAGTCGACGCTGGCCACGGAACTGGTCGACGCGCTGAACGAAGGGGGAGGGGGCAGCGCTGCGCTGCTGCCCATGGACGGCTATCATCTCGACAACCGCATTCTCGAACAAAAGGGCCTGCTGGCGCGCAAGGGCGCGCCCGAAACCTTCGACGCGGACGGCTTTTGCCGGATGGTCGCGCTGATCCGCGGTGCCCAAGGCGACGTGGTGCACCCGGTCTTCGACCGCAAAGCCGATCTTGCAATCGCCGGCGCCGCCATCATCGCCCGATCCGTGGAGGTCGTCGTCATCGAGGGTAACTATCTGCTCCTGTGCGACGAGCCCTGGCGCGGCGCGCAGGCGCACTACGATCTGACCGTCTTCGTCGCCCCCGCCATGCCGACCCTTTCCGAGCGCCTGGTCGAACGGTGGCTTGCGCTCGGCCACGACCGCGATGCAGCGATCGGCCGGGCCGAGCGCAACGATCTGCCGAATGCCGGCCTTGTGCTCGAACAGAGCGTCGGCGCCGACATCATCCTGACATGAACCGGCCGGAACGTCCGCTTCGCCGAAGGTTGCGCGCCGGGCAATGTCATGGTTTCCTGCCGGCATGATATCGCTTGATGACATTGTCGGCATGTGCGATCTCAGCGAGGAGGAAATCCTCGCCATTGCCGAGCATGAGCACGTGCCCGAAGGCGTCGCCGCCGCCTATGGCGACTATCTGGCGCACGAGGCGCACGGCTATGAGACGATCGGGCGGATGATCATCGATGATATCCGCGTGGCGCAGGCACGCGGCGACCGCGACCATGTGCGGATGCTGCTGCATGTGCTCCACCATTTCGTCCGCAACCATCCCGAAGCCGCGCCGCATCAGCATCCATGGAGTTCGGTGGCCTGAGTATCGGCGACCCGGCCATGCTGATCGTCGAGGATGCGCGTTCAAGGATTGCCGTGCGGCCGGACATGGGCGCCGGCCTTGCCCGGTTCGACGCCCTGACCGCCAACGGCCCGAAACCGGTGCTCCGGCCGACGGCTGCCGGCGGCAATCACCCCTTCGATCTGGCCTGCAACCTGATGTTGCCGTTCGCCAACCGTATCTCCGGCGGGGCGTTCGGGTTCGACGGCTCGTTTCATCCTGTGCCGCCCAACCTGCCGGACGACGATCCCTGCCCCCTGCACGGCGATGGGCTTCAGAGGGCCTGGTCCGTCGTGGCGCACCAGGCCGACCGCATCGAACTGGCGCTCGACGAGGGAGCCATCGGCCCGTGGCGCTACTCTGCCCGGATCGAATGGCGCCTCGAAGACGGAACCCTGCACGGCACGCTGACCGCGACCAACACCGGAGCGCGTCTGCCGTTCGGCGGTGGGTTCCACCCCTGGTTGCCGCGCCTTGATGGTACGACACTGTGCTTCAGGGCCAGCCATGTCTGGCTGTCGGACGCGGCGAACCTGCCGACGAAACGCATGCCAATCGCCGACAGGCCGCAATGGGATTTTTCCAAACCGTCCGCGCTGCCCGGTGACCGGATCGACAACTGCTTTGACGGCTGGGACGGCAAGGCCGTTGTCACCCAGCCGGATCTGGGGATCGATGTCAGTGTATCCGTTTCGCAAAATCTTGATCATGCGATGGTTTTTGCCCCGTCCGTCAATGCGGGCTTTTTCTGTTTCGAGCCGGTCAGCCACGCCGTCGATGCGATCAACGCTCCCGGTCACCCGGGCATGATCGTGCTGGCGCCCGGCGACGCGATGACACTGTCGATGACGCTCGGCTGGGCGCCGCGCGACCGATGACCCGCCTCAGTCGGCGGGCGCCGGATGCCTCTTGCCGGCGCTTCTGCGACGGCCGGCGGCAGCCGCGCCGGGCTTTGTTTTCCCGTTATGCTTGTGCGAATCGGGCCGTTCGTTCTTGGCGTTGACCCGGTCGAGCGCGATCACGCACTGGTCCAGATCGTCGGTCGCCAGATGCGCATAGCGCAGCGTCATCTGGATCGTCTGGTGGCCGAGAAATGTCTGCACCCGGCGCAGGTCGATGCCCGCCTGGACCAGCCGCGACGCGCAGGTGTGGCGCAGCATGTGGGGCACGAATTGCGGATCGTCCTTCAGCCCCATGTCCCGCTTCACGGCGTTCCAGTGATAGAGGAACTTCTGGTAGGCGACGCCGTGAAACGGGCCGCCGGGCTGGCGCCCCTGATCGGCCAGCGCACAGACGGCACGATCGGTCAGCGGAACGGTGCGGCTCCGGCCGGATTTGGTGATCCAGAAGGTGGCACGGCCATTGTGGACATCGCCATGTTTCAGGCCGAGCGCTTCGCCGACGCGCGCGCCAGTATCGATCAGGAAAATGCACAGGTTTTTGTAGGATTTGTCGCGTTCTTCAAGTCTAGGTAGCAAAAACCGCTCTTCTTCGCGCGTCAAAAAGCGGACACGCGCGTTTTTCTCCGGCAGTCGAACATAGGATGGAAGTCGAGTAATCAGACCTGCACGCTCCGCTTTCCGAAGTATTTTGTAGAGCGCGGCCAGTTTTCTGTTGATGGTCGCGTTCGAATTTCCCTTTCTACGGTAATACGAAATCAATTGATCGACAAGTCCGTCGTCCAGTTTTTCGATAGAATTTCCCTGTATGACATCGTCGATTTCCATAAGAAATCTGAAGACGTTTCTCTTGTGATTTCCATCTTCCCACAAGACATTGTGAAAAGACTCGTAGAACGCGAAAACCGATACATGCATATTGATCGCCAATCCCCCTCTGCAACGAGGGAATGAACAGTTGTAACGAATGTCAATTCCTGAAATTGGAAAAAGACTGAATAGAAAATAGAAAAACCCGGCAGTTGCCTGCCGGGTTTCTTGTAGTTGCTTGTGAAGCGTCGGAGGGACGCTTAGAACGAGCGCTCGAAGCGCACGAAGCCGCCAATTGTGTCTGCTCCGGGACCGTTCTGGTAGACAATCTCCGGCCGGAACTGGAAGCCGGGAACGATGTCGTAGTCGACATTGCCGACAACGGTCCAAAGGTCGCCGACACCGTTGCCTTCCTGCCATTGCACGGCGAGGTTGACATCAAGGGCTTCGGTTGCCGCGAACGAGGCGCCACCCAGAACCGAGAACGTCTCAGCCCCGACAGCCCCACGGCGCCAAGTCGTGTAGGCCGAGCTGTTCTCACCATACATCAGCATCACGAAGGCCGAGAACGGATCGAACGACACGTCACCACGGATCTTACCGGACCAGCCGCCCTGACGCAGAAGGCCGAGCTGCGGGCTGACAACGTTGTTGCGCGTGTCGTAACCCAGAACACCTCGGATCTGGAAAGCACCGCTGTCGTAACCGGCACCGGCAACGATGTGCGGCACATAGTCGTCAATGCCCCAACCGATGTGAGCGTCGTACACGCCACCGAACGTGTTGTCGGTGAACAGGTTGTCATTGCCCTGTTCGAGCGAGATACCAGCCGAGAACGCGCCACTGTTGAAGGTGTAGCTGATCAGGTTGGTGTCGAACGGACCGTAGGCGAACGTGTAGTTCGTCGGTGCGCCGTATCCGGTAAATGTCGAGAAGTACGATTCGTCTTTACCGATGCGCAGACCGGCCAGATCGATCCAGGCGAAGTTGATCTCGAACTCGCCTGCCGTGCGATAGCCGTTCGGCCCCAAGAACCACTCAGGGCTGTTGCCGTTCACCACGCGTTCATTCCGAGCACCATTGGTGTCATATTGCCAGCGGGTTTCGACGTAGGTCCGCAGCGGACCCAGTTCGGTGTCGGCCCAGGTCGAGACGCGGAACGATGCGCGCGCGCGGGTTCTCCAAGTCCGTTCAGCGTCGGCCGCTGTAACGCCCGTCTGCGGCGCATCACCAAAGCCCAGGTCGTAGCGGACATAGCCATGGATGCGCAGGCAGGTTTCGGTGCCCGGGATGTAGAAGAAGCCGGTGCCGGCTGCATCGCAGACGCGGACATATTCGACAACTTCGGGCTCGGGGATGATGATGTCGGCTGCCTGTGCAGTCGACACGGCCATCATCGCCGCGGCCGAGCCAAGAAGAAGGCTCTTGATTTTCATAATTGACCTCCAGTCAACCGCGAAAACCGCGCGTCAGAACCCGCCCGCCTTCACGCCCGGTTAACCAAGGGCCGTCGACCCGAGCGGCCTGCCTTGTTTCCGGCCATGTTTTCTGGTGCTTGGCGATGTTCCGCGCTAGGTACGCGGGGTGAGCGGCGCGGGGGGATACGCCGCCTGTGGCGATGCGGGCTCGATGCGGCGCCGCATGAAGAGCAAAGGGGCCGCGCACGAGGTGTTGCGTAACGGGTCGGGTCGACTGTCTGCGAAAGGAACTGCGCACCGCGCCGGCGCGCTGTCGGTTGCGCTCGCCCTGACGTTGACCGTCCACGTCCCCCAGGCCCGTGCCCTTGAACTGTTCGGCCTTTGTCTGTTCGGCGACTGCCGCAACGCGGTCGAGGCGCCCGACCTGATCGATCCCAAACCCTATGACGTGACGCTCACGGTCGAGGGTGCGGACGCCGACGTGGAAGCCGCCGTCAAGGCCGGCTCGGCGCTGTGGGGCGGCCGAAACGCGCCGGCCGCCGGTTCCGCCGGGCTTTTGTCGCGCGCACGCGCCGACTATCGGCGCATCCAGGCCGCGCTCTACGACGAGGCCCGCTATGGCGGCACGATCTCCATCCGCGCCGACGGACGGGAAGTGGCCGACCTGCCGGCGGGCCACGATTTCGCCGACGGAACAGTGTTCACCGTCTCGGTCCGCCCGGGTCCGGTCTACACGTTCGCTGCGCTTGCCATCGACAATCTGCCGCCGCGCTCCGACGATCCGCGCGATCGCGTCGATGCGCCGTCGACAGCCGGATTCGCCACTGGCAGCCCGGCGCGCGCCGGTGCGGTGCGCCAGGCCGGACAATTGGCGGTCGAGGGCTGGCGCCAGCAGGGCCATGCCACAGCGCGCATCGCCGAGCGCGAGGCCGTCGCCAACCACCCGAACCGGACGCTGCGGGTCCGTCTTGTTGTCGATCCGGGGCCGCGCGCCAGCTATGGCGCGGTCACCGTCGAGGGAACCGACCGGATGATCCCCTCCTTCGTTGCGCGGCAGACCGGCCTTCTGCCCGGCGACGAGTACGATCCCGACGACGTGGAGCGGGCCCGCGAGCGTCTGCGGCGGCTCGGTGTCTTCAACGCGGCCACCGTCAAGCCCGCCGAAACGGTCGGCGACGACGGCACACTGCCCGTCGCGGTGACCGTCGAGGAACGCAAGCTGCGCCGCATCGGCGCCGGCGCGACCTATTCGACGCTCGACGGGTTCGGCGCCGAAGCCTTCTGGCTGCACCGCAATCTGTGGGGCCGCGCCGAGCGTTTGCGCATCGAGGGCGGCGTGTCCGGCGTCGACGGCAGTTTCGATGCCGGCAATTACGACTACCGGCTGGGCGCGACGCTCGGCCTGCCCGGCCGCTTCACGCCCGATACCGACATCACGCTCAGCGCGCTCGCCGATCGCGAGGTGCTGGACAGCTACACGCGGACCGGCGCCGAAACGTCGGTCGGCGTCGTTCACTACCAGTCCGACCGGCTGACCTGGTCGGGCAGCCTGTTCGTCGATTATGCCGAGTTCGAGGATGCGATGGGCAAACGCCGCCTCGGCCTCGTCGGCGGCAGCGCCGGGCTTGAATATGATGCGCGCAACGATCCGCTCGATTCGACCGCCGGCTTTTTCGCCTCGGCATCGGCGACGCCTTTCTACGAATGGGAGTTCGGCAATCCGGCGGTTCAGTTCGATGGCGAGGTCCGCGCCTATCAGGCGCTGGGTGACGGTGGCCGCACGGTGCTGGCCGGCCGCGTCACGGCCGGATCGATCATCGGTCCCGCGCCGGCCTTGCTGCCGCCCGACAGGCTCTACTTCGCCGGCGGCGGCACATCGGTGCGCGGCTTCGCCTATCGCTCGATCGGCGGCGCGGACAGCACGACCACAGGCGGCAAGTCGCTGATCGAGGCATCGGCGGAAATCCGGCAGGGGGTTACCGACACGATCTCGGTGGTCGGTTTCATCGACGCGGCGATGGTCGGCACCGACTCGCTGCCCGCCTTCGACCGGACGCCGCGCGCCGGCGCCGGTCTCGGCCTGCGCTACAAGACCGGGCTCGGCCCGCTCAGGCTCGATGCCGCAACGCCGCTCAATCCGCGTCCGGGCGATGGCCGGTTCGCCATCTATGCCGGCATCGGGCAGGCATTCTGACATGACGTATCTGTCCCGCATCGCCATTCTTCTCGTCGCGCTGCTCGGCGTGACGCTGACGGGCGCCCTGGCGCAGGACAATGAGGAAGCCGAACGCTCCGGCTTCATCCGCTTCGTCGAAGAGCAGATATCGGCGCCGAACATGCAGATCAGGCTGATCGGCATCGAGGGGTCGCTGTCGTCCGATGTCCGGCTCGAGCGGATCACCATCTCTGACGATGACGGCGTCTGGCTGACCATCGAGGAACCGCGGCTCGTCTGGCAGCGATCGGCGCTGTTGCGCGGGCGGCTGGTGATCGACGAATTGTCGGCGACATCGCTCGATTTCGTCCGGCCGCCGCTGCCCGACGACAGCCTGCCCGAACCCGAAGCCGGCGGCTTCTCGGTGCCCGAATTGCCGGTGGCCGTCCAGATCGCGGAACTCAGCCTGCCGCGCGCATCGTTTGGCGAGACCGTGTTCGGCCTGCAATCGGTGCTCTCGCTCGCCGGCAGCCTTTCGCTCGATGGCGGCAATCTGGCCGCCGATCTCGACATCGACCGGCTCGACGGACCGGGCGGCAGCCTTGATCTCGACGCAACGCTCGAAGGCGAAAACCTCGATCTGCAGGTCTTGCTGAGCGAGCCCGATGACGGTGTCGTCGCCAATCTGCTGAACCTTCAGGGGCGCCCGCCCGTGGCGCTGACGCTTGCAGGCGGCGGTCCGCTCGATGCACTCGGCATCGATCTTGGCTTCGATGTGGATGGCGCGCGCATCCTCGAAGGCCGGCTCGAGACGCGCCGCGGCTTTCTGGCGGGTGCGACCGAACTCACCTTTTCGCTGGGCGGGCCGCTGGCTGACATCTTGCCGGCGCGCGAGCGCGAATTCTTCGGCGACCGCACGGATTTGGCCGGCCGGCTTTTGCTCGATGATGACGACGGCACCCGCATCGAAGAAGTCACGATCGAAAGCGGCGCACTGAACGGTCGCGTCACCGGGCGCCTGCTGCCCGATGCTTTCCCCGCAGAGTTGGGTGCCGATATCCGCCTTGCCCGCCCCGGCGGCGGCCCCGTGTCGCTGCCCGGCGCGGGCGATGTCACGGTCGGCAGCGCCCGCATCACGCTTGATTATGGCGGCGCCGACTGGACCGCCAGAGCGGACATGGAAGCGCTGGCGACCCCCGGTCTGTCGATCGGATCGGTCGGCATTGGGGGCTCGGGCACGCTTGCCGATTTGCCCGATCCGAACGCCCGCTCGGTCTCGTTTGCGCTGACGGGCGCTGCGCGCGCGCTCGAAGCTGCGGACGCAGCACTGTCCGAGGCGCTTGGCGACACGGTCAATGTCGATGTTCGCGGTGAATGGCAGGCCGGTGAACCGCTCACCCTGTCCGGCCTGACGCTTGCCGGCGACACGGCGCGTGTCGAGGGCACCGGTATCGTCGAAGGCTGGGCGTTCGACGGCACATCGGTGCTGGATGCGCCCGATCTATCGCCCTTTTCGGCGCTTGCCGGGCGCGATCTGGCCGGCGCGGCCTCACTGGCGCTCAATGGAACGGTCGCGCTGATCGGCGGCGGTTTCGACATGATCGTCGATGGCGGTGCGACCGGCCTGCAGGCGGGCGACGACATGGCCGGCCGGCTTCTTGCCGGCGATCTGGCGCTTGGCGGCGGCGTTGCCCGGACGGCCGATGGCCTCTCTTTTTCCGCGTTCGAAGCGGCCAACGACCAGCTGTCGCTGGCAATCAGCGGAACGCTTGCGAGCGAGACGGCCGATCTGCGCGGCGCCCTGTCGCTTGCCGATCTTGGGCTGGTCGATGCGCGCTCGTCCGGCAGCGCCGGCATCCAGATCGCGGTCGATCGCGCCGCGGCGCCGGCATCGGATGCGCCGCCCGAGGACGATGCCGAACGGCCCTATGCCGTCACCGCATCGCTTCTGGTGCCGGCCGGCCGTCTGGCGGGCCAGCCGGTGTCGGGCATGCGGGTCGGTTTCGCCGGCGAGGCGATCGGGGATCGCGTCGCCGGACGGTTGGACGGAAGCGGCGAACTGGCGGGCCAGCCGGTCGAGGTCCAGGCGCAGGTCACGCGTGACGGCGCGATTTATGCCGTGCGCGATCTGCTGCTTGAGGCGGGCGCGGGGCGGCTGGCCGGAACCCTCTCTTATGGCGATGGTCTGGCCAATGGCAGCCTGACGGTCGATGCAAGCGACGTATCGGGCCTTGCCGCGCTTGCGCTGCTCGAGGCATCGGGTGCACTTGACGCCGACATCGAACTGGCCGGTCGGGACGGCATGCAGGATACGACGGTGAGCGCCGACATCCGGTCGCTGACAATTGCCGGCGTGTCGGTCGCAAGCGGCAGCCTCGATGCGGCGCTCTCCGATCTCTTCGGCACCGTCTCGGGCCGGGCCGAAGCGGAGCTGCGATCGGTCGACATTGGCGGCACCGTCATCCGGTCCGCCACGGCCACAGTTCGACCCTTGAACGGTGCCGAGACGCTCGCCTTCGAGGCCAACGTCGCGCTGGCGGACGGGACGGCCCTGGATACGGAAGGCAATGCCGCTTTGGGCGATGTGACACGGATCGGCCTTGCGACGCTGTCCCTCGATACGCGCTATGGCGACGCGCGGCTTGCCGCACCGGCCCGCATCGTCATCGACGGCGGCACGACGCGGATAGAGAGCCTTTCGCTGAACATCGAAGGCGGGCGCGTGACCGCGAGCGGGACGGTCGGCGAAGCGCTGGACCTCGATCTCGTCTTCAACGGTCTGCCGGCCGGTCTGGCCAACACGGTCCAGCCCGGGCTTGGCGCGGCGGGCGCCTTGAGCGGGCGCGTTGAGGTAACGGGCACGCCTGGCGATCCGCGGGCTTCGTTTGCGATCGGTGGCGAGGGCCTGACGGCGACCGTGATACGCCAGGCGGGCGTCACGCCGTTCTCGGTGACGACATCGGGGAGTTTCGGCGGGCAGAGGATTGCCGTTTCAGGCTTTTCGGCGCGCAACGGTCAGGGCGCGGCGATCGACGCTTCCGGGACCGTGCCGCTGGCGGGCGGCGCCCTTGACGTCACCGCGTCGGGAGCGGCGCCGCTGGAACTGGTCAATGCCGTGCTGGCCGGGCGCGGCACGCGCCTTTCCGGCACCGCGCGGTTCGATGCCCGCATCGGCGGTGCGCTGGCACGGCCGGCCGTGTCCGGGCTGGTCTCGATTTCCGGCGGCCGGATCACCGATCCGGGCGCCAACATCGATCTGACCGGCGTCAACCTGCTGGCGGGGCTCGAAGGCGACCGCCTCGTCATCCGCAACGCATCGGCAAGCCTTGCCGGCGGCGGTGGGTTGACGCTGTCGGGCACGGTCGGCCTCGGCGCCGGTTTGCCGGCCGATCTGACGCTGGCGCTCGCCGGTGCGCGCTATTCCGACGGCCAACTCTTTTCCGCCGATCTTGGCGCGGACCTCTCCATCACCGGACCTTTGAGCGGCGGGGCGACGATCGCCGGCACGGTCGATATCGCCCGCGCCGAGATCACCGTGCCGGAGACCTTTGCGGGCGACGCCGACCTGATCGATGTGCGCCATATCGACCCCGATGCCGGCACGCGCGCGACGCTGGAGCGGATCGCTTCGGTGATGCCCCGCACCGATGGCGGCGATCCGTCGGCGCCCTACAGGCTCGATGTGCGCATCAACGCGCCCAGTCAGGTGTTCGTGCGCGGCCGGGGCCTCGACGCTGAATTGGGCGGGCAGGTTCGCGTGGCCGGCCCGCTCGATGCGCTCGCGCCCGTCGGCGCCTTCAACCTGATCCGTGGGCGGCTGTCGCTCCTGGCAAGGCGGCTCGACTTTACCAATGGCGCGGTGACGCTGACCGGCAATCTCGATCCGTTCATCAACATGACCGCGCAGACCTCCAATGGCGATCTGACGGCGTTCGTCACCATCATCGGCCCGGCATCGGACCTCGACGTGCGGCTTTCGTCCTCGCCTTCCCTGCCCGAAGACGAGATTCTGGCCCGCATCCTGTTCGGCGAGGACATTGGCAGCCTGTCGCCGGCGCAACTGGCGCAACTGGCCGCCGCCGCCGCTTCGCTCGCCGGCGGCGGATCCGATCTGGCCGGCGGGCTGCGCGGCGCGCTCGGCGTCGACGATCTCGACGTCGTCCAGGACGAAGAGGGCGGCGTGGCCGTGCGCGCCGGCCGTTATCTTTCCGACAATGTCTATCTGGAGGTGGAGGCCGGCGCCGACGGGGCCGAGACATCCATCAATCTGGACATCACCGATTCCGTGACCGCCCGCGGCAGCGCCACGACGGGCGGCGATTCGTCGATCGGCCTGTTCTTTGAACGCGACTACTGAAAGCGCGGCGAGTCGCGACCAGATCGCGTCGCAACGCTTGGTGTGCAAGGCTTTTGCGGCTTTTTCCGGTCTTCGCGGCGGCCCGCTACCCGCTTCCGAATTGTTAACGGCTGTTAAAGTCGATGAACAGTTCCTGACCAAAATCGTGTCATTTGTGCAACATCGCATTCCTATCAGCGGCAACGGGGCCGGCATGACCCCAATTGCGTGTTGCGCGGCCAGATGGGTTGGGTCATGAACGGATCAGGAAACGGGCGGGTCTGCCTGTTTCTGCGTTAGGGGATGGGACAGGCAGTCCTGTAGAACACCCCAGACCCGTTTCGAACTTTGACTGGAGGTCAATTATGAAAATCAAGAGCCTTCTTCTTGGCTCGGCCGCGGCGATGATGGCCGTGTCGACTGCACAGGCAGCCGACATCATCATCCCCGAGCCCGAAGTTGTCGAATATGTCCGCGTCTGCGATGCAGCCGGCACCGGCTTCTTCTACATCCCGGGCACCGAAACCTGCCTGCGCATCCACGGCTATGTCCGCTACGACCTGGGCTTTGGTGAGCTGAACCAGGTGACTGCTGCTGACGGTGAGGGCACATGGAACACGCGCGCTCGCGCTTCGTTCCGCGTCTCGACCTGGGCCGACACCGAGTACGGCCCGCTGCGGACCTACGTCGAAACCCGCTGGCAGTATGACACCAACGGTGCTCAGAACCAGCGTGTCGTCAACGGCAACAACCCGGACTGGACGCTTGGCCCGAACGGCTACCGGAACGCAGGCGAGTTCTCGATCAACTTCGCCTACATCGATCTGGCCGGTCTGCGCATCGGTAAGGACGAATCGTTCTTCACCACCTTCACCGGCTACGGCGGCGCGGTCATCAACGATACGACCGCTGGCGGTTATGGTCCGTTCGACACGAACCTGATCAGCTACACCTTCAACAGTGGCGCGTTCTCGGCTGGTGTCTCGCTCGAACAGGGCAGCAGCAACTACTTCACCGACAACACGTTCGGTGGCGTGTACGACGCTCACATCGGTTGGGGCATTGACGACTACGTGCCGCACATCGTTGCCGGTGCTGGTTACGACAGCGGTGCTTTCCAGATCCGCGGTGTTCTGGGTTACGACACGCGCAACAACGTTGTCAGCCCGCAGCTCGGCCTTCTGCGTCAGGGCGGTTGGTCCGGTAAGATCCGTGGTGACGTGTCGTTCGATCCGTTCTCGGCCTTCTTGATGGTCATGTACGGTGAAAACTCCTCGGCTTACACCACTTGGGCCAACGGCCCGGTCACGGCTGAAACGCTGTCGATCATCGGTGGTGCTTCGTTCGACTTCACCGACCAGGCAACCTTCAACACCCAGGTTCAGTGGGCCGAAGGCAACGGCATCGGTGATGAGTGGGCAGTTGCTGCCAACATCAACTACGAGATCACCGACGGCTTCATCGTCCGTCCGGAAGTTGTTTACTACAACAACAACGCCGGCAACGACGTCTTCGGCGGCACGCTGCGCTTCCAGCGCTCGTTCTGATCACCTGACATTCGTCAGTTGAAGGAAAACCCGGCAGGCAACTGCCGGGTTTTTCGTTTTGGGGATCGACCCGGCCGCAGGGCGCAATCGGCCGTCATCCGGCGCACAGAACGCAGGCGATCGGGTGTCTGCTCAGAATTTCAACTTGCCGACGAAGGCCTCGACAGGCGCCAGCGCCCCGGGTGTATGCAGCATCGGCGCGTGGCCCTGGCCCCTGACCGCCGCCGCCGTCAATGACGGGTGAATGGACCGCATGGTCCGCACCGTCTCTTCGGCCAGAAGCGATGAGTTTTCGCCGCGCAGCACCAGAACCGGCACCCGTTTGAGCCCTGCAAACTGCGGCCACATGGTCGGCAGACGTTCTCCCAGATCGATGTCGGTCAATGTGCGCACGAGCGCCGGATCGTGATCGGGTCGGATCTGGCCGTCGATCTCCCGGTAACGGCCGAAGGCTTCGAAGGCCCAGTCTGCGTCCTCAAGGGCGGTGAACGATTTGTCCATCACCGTCTTCTGGATGGCGACCGCGTCCGTCCAATCGCGCGGGCGCGGCATCTTCTTCAGATAGAGCCGGATCTGCGTCAGCCCGGCCCCCTCGATCACCGGCCCGATATCGTTAAGAATGGCGGCGCGGATGGCGCCCGGGCGCATGGCGGTCAGCAGCATGGTCACGATCCCGCCGCGTGAAGTGCCGACGAAGATCGCATGCTCGATGTTCAGTGCCGTCAGGCCGGAAACCACGTCGTCGGCTTCGGTCAGCACATTGTAGTTGCGCCAGTCCTTGTCATGGCCCGACAAGCCGCGTCCGCGGAAGTCGAACGCGTAGACTCGGCGCGGGTTTTTGGCATGGTTGGCGAAATGATGCGCAAGGCCGAGGAAGTCGCGGCTGTTGCGGCTGAGGCCGGGCAGACAGACGACCGGCGCAAGGCCGTTGTCCTTCGGCCCGACGGCGCGCACATGGATGGGCAATCCGTCGCGTGCGGAGAAGTAAAGGCTCTCGCCGGGGTCGAATGGAGGCGGAGTGAAAGGCACCGGAACGATCGTCTGGACAACGGAACTGCTCGCGCGTCTGTAGCCGGTTTTGTGCGGCCGCGAAACCCGTCGCCTGAACTCCGGGTGCCCTTGGTCAGCCCGCGGTCGTCGTCAGATCATGCGCGATCGTCAGCGGCAGGTCGAAGCGCGCCTTGTAGACCGTCATGTTGGCCATGACCTTCTGCACGTAGAGGCGTGTTTCCGGGAAGGGGATCTGTTCGATCCAGTCGATCGTTTCTGCCAGCGGCAGCCCGCGCGGATCGCCGAAGCGGCCGATCCATTCGCGCGCGCGGCCCGAGCCTGCATTGTAGGCGATGAAGGTCAGAACATGCGAACCGCTGAACCGGTCGCGCTGCTCGTCCAGATACTGCGTGCCTAAAAGCGCGTTGAAGGCCGGATCGGCGGTCAGCCGCGCGGCGTTGTAGGCGAGGTCCATGCGCCCGGCCACGTCGCGCGCGGTCGAGGGCAGCAACTGCAGAAGGCCGCGCGCATTGGCGCGCGAAACCGCGTTCGTGTTGAACTCGCTCTCCTGGCGGGCGACCGCATAGACCAGCGCCCGGTCGGAAGCGGACAGAAAACCGTCGGAGGGAATGGCGTCGGCGGGATGGGTGGCCAGGCCCAGATCGTGCCCGTTCCACTGGCCGCGCTTGGCGATCCTCAGACCGATCGCGTGATGGCCCTGCTCGGCGGCATGGCGGGCGAGCGCCGCATAATGCGCCGGCGTGTCGAACCGCTCGGCCAGACCCGTATAGAGCGTTTGCAGGAAGCGCGTCTGGCCGGTTTCGGTCTGGCGCTCGATCGCCAGCAGCACCCGCGATGCGGAGAGGTCGCGCTGTGCCTCTTCGCTGGCCGGTATCGGACCGATGGCGAGCCTTTCATGACCGAGCGCCTGCGCGGCAAGCTGGCCGTAGAAGCTGGTCGGATAAAGCGCCGCGCGCTCGAAATGGGCGCGGGCCATATCCTCGTCGCCCGCCGCGCCGGCAGTCCGGCCGAGCCAGTAGGCGCCGCGCGCGCGCGATGCCGCGCCTTGCGCGATCCGTTCGATCCGCTCGAAATGCGGTCTGGCGCGCGCCGGATCGTTCAGCCCGCGCAGCGCATACCAGCCCGCATGGAAGGCGGCATCGACCTGCGTTGCCGGGCTGCCGCCGCGGTGCTCCGAGACGATTTCATAGGCCTGCTCGACGGCGCCGGCCTCGCGCAGAGAGCGCGACACGATGCGCCGCTCGTTCCACCAGGCATCGGGATTGGTCAGCGCATCGGGATCGGACGGAACCTCGGCCAAGAGCTCTCCGGCTTCCTCCATCCTGTTGGTGCGGCGCAGATGCTCGATGCGCATGTAAAGGCCGGCTTCCGTGTCCAGCAACGCGTCGGGCACATCCGCGATCAGCGCCTCGGCGCCCGGCGCCTCGCGGATCACCGCCGCCCAGGCCTCGTGCAGCCTGTCCATGCCGGCGGCGTCGGCGACGCGCGCGCCGGCGCGAATGCGCTCACGCACCATCATGGCGACATAGCGCGCGCGGTGATCGGCCTGCGTCAGCACACCGTCGAACAGGTCCACAACCTCGCGCTCGATCGACGAAGACAGCACCATGGTCCGCCAATAGGGGACGATCAGATCGCGCGCCTTCGTCTCGCCGCCGGTCCGCAGATGACCCTTGGCCAGCGCATAGGCGGCCTCGAACGTCTCGGGCGGCCTGGCATCGAATGCGGTGCGCAGCTTGATGTTGCCCAGCCACCCGCGCGCCAGCGCCCGCTCATGGTTGCGCGCCAGAAGCTCCTGGCCGGGCCAGTCGTCGAGCCCGCGCATGGCCTTGGCGATCGCGCCGGCGCCAACGGCACGGTCGCCCGATGCGGCCAGGGTCCAGTCGACCAGATCGCGATCGACGGAACCGGCCAGCATCGCGTCGCGCAGGGATTTGGCATCCGCAATGCGGCCCTCGCTGATCGCGGTCAGCGCTTCTCCGAGACGCGCGATCTGCGCATTGTGCTCGGCATTGTCGGCGGCGGGAACGCTGGCGGTGACGATCGGATCGATGCCGCCCGACACCGATGCCTGTTCGGCCAATCGGGTCGGCTGGGTGCCGACCAGCGTCAGCGCGCCGAAACCGGCAAGCGTGACAATGCCCAGGCTCGCCAAACCGGCCATCAGTTTGTGGTTCAGTTCCATCGCGCCCTTGTTGCCGGAGGTCGTGGCAGCATTGCGACGAGGCTCGCCCCGTGCGGTAAACTGATGGTTAACGGGGCGTAAAAGTTGATCGCCTGTAACATGGCAAGGACTGCTTGCCCGTCGCTCGCCCGGGCCTTATGGTGCGGCCCAACCTGAAGCGGGCCCGCTGCGCGACACGCCGTCGCGCGGCTTTTGTTTGTGCCCGCGACCATGAATGTTTGGAGATGTGGCCATGACCGACCGGCCCATGATCGAACGCAGCCGCCTGCGCGGCTCGATGACCGCGCTTGTGACGCCCTTCGACGCCACCGGCGCCCTCGACGAAGCGGCGTTTCGCGCGCTGGTCGACTGGCAGATAGAGGAGGGAACGAAGGGCTTGGTCCCGGTCGGCACGACCGGCGAATCGCCGACGCTGAGCCATGATGAGCACAAGCGCGTGGTCGAGATCTGCACCGAGCAGGCTGCCGGCCGGGCCGCCGTGATCGCAGGCGCGGGGTCCAACAACACGGTCGAGGCGGTCGATTTCGCCCAGCATGCCGAGCAGGCCGGGGCGGACGCGGTCCTCTGCGTGACCCCCTACTACAACAAGCCCAACCAGCGCGGCCTTTATCAGCACTTCGCCGCCATCGCACAGGCGGTCGATGTCCCGATCATCATCTACAACATCCCGCCGCGCTCGGTGATCGACATGACGCCGCAGACCATGGCGCAACTGGCCGCCGATTTCCCCAACATCTGGGGCGTCAAGGATGCCACGGCAAAGCTCGACCGGGTTTCGGAGCAGCGCATGGCGTGCGGCACCGACTTCATCCAGCTTTCCGGCGAGGATGCGACGGCGCTCGGCTTCAACGCCCAGGGCGGCGTCGGCTGCATCTCGGTCACCGCCAATGTGGCGCCGCGCCTGTGCGCCGAATTCCAGGAGGCAATGCTGGCGGACGACTATGCCACGGCACTGGACTATCAGGACCGTTTGATGCCGCTTCACAAGGCGCTGTTCGTCGAGGCCGGCGTGTCCGGCGCCAAATACGCGCTGTCCAAGCTTGGCCGCATGCACAATGCGCTGCGTTCGCCCATGGTGCCGGTCGAGGCCGCCAGCGCGGCGTTGATCGACGACGCCATGCGCCATGCCGGCCTCTTGAACTGAGCCGGGCTTCCGCCCAACTCGCAATCATGGCCGTAACCAAGAAAGAAAACACCGCCCGCAAGCTCGTGGCGGAAAACCGCAAGGCGCGCTTCAACTTCGAAATCCAGGACGTGGTCGAGGCGGGCCTGATGCTGCGCGGTACCGAGGTCAAGTCGCTGCGCAATGGCGAGGCGAACATTGCCGAAAGCTATGCCAGCTTCGAAGACGGCGAGATGTGGCTGATCAACAGCCACATTCCCGAATATCTGGAGGCGAACCGCTTCAACCACGATCCGCGCCGCCGGCGAAAGCTGCTGCTGAACAAGCGCGAGATCGCCAGGATGGTCAATGCCACCGACCGCGAGGGCATGACGATCGTGCCGCTCAGGCTCTATTTCAACGATCGCGGCCGCGCCAAGCTGGAACTGGCCGTCGCGCGCGGCAAGAAGCTGCACGACAAGCGCGAGACCGAAAAGAAGCGCGACTGGAACCGCGAAAAGGCAAGATTGCTGCGGGAGAAGGGGTAGGCGATGGTAAAAGATCCCAATGTGCTGCCCGATGGACTGCCGGTTCCCGAGGACGATGGCGCGGCGGGCCATCTGGCCGGAATGCGGCTGCCCGATATCCGCCTTGCCTCGACGGCCGGCGATAGCGTCGATCTTGCAGCGCTCAACGGCACGGCCGTGCTCTATCTCTATCCCATGACGGGACGGCCTGGCGTGGCTCTGCCGGACGGCTGGGACGGGATTGCGGGCGCGCGCGGCTGCACGCCGCAATCGTGCGCGTTCCGCGATCACTTTTCGGACCTTCAGGCGCTCGGCGTCGATCATCTGTTCGGCATCTCGGCCCAGAACACCGATTATCAGCGCGAGGCGAAAGACCGGTTGCACCTGCCGTTCGACCTTTTGAGCGACGCGGCGGGCGCCTTGCGCGATGCGCTGGACCTGCCGGTCTTCGAGGTCGAAGGCATGGTGCTGCTCAAGCGCATGGCGATCATCGCAAGGGAAGGGGTGATCGAAAACGTCCTCTATCCCGTCTTCCCGCCCGACCGGAACGCTGCCGACGTGATCGACTGGCTGTCCGCTCAGCGGCCCTGAACCATGCCCGCAACGTCGGCGATCACCGCGTCGAACATCGCCTCGGTCAGCCGGCCCGTGTTCATGTTGTAGCGCGAGCAATGATAGCTCGAGACGATGGTCAGACCATTGAGTGCGGTTTGCGCGCCATGGCCGAACGGGTGCGCCGAAACCCTGCCGCCCAAGGCGCGGATGCAAGCATCATGGGCGATCTTGCCGAGCGTCAGAACGGCTTGCAGCTTGGCGAAACGCGCAAGCGTCGGCTCCAGATAGGCGCGGCAAGCATTGATCTCGGCGGCCACCGGCCGGTTTTCCGGCGGCACGCAGCGCACGGCGTTGGTGATCGCGGTGCCGATCAGATCGACACCCTCGCCGGCGGAACCCGGCCTGTGCCCGCGCGCCAGACCGTGCCGATCAAGGCCGGCGAACAGGGCCTCTCCCGACGCATCCCCGGTGAAGGGCCGGCCGGTCCGGTTGGCGCCGCGCGCGCCCGGCGCAAGCCCGACGATGAGGAGGCGGACGGCGTTTTCGCCTTGCGGCGGCAGCCAGGTGGGCACCGGGCCGTTGTGCCAGTCGGGCTCCTTTGTCCGCCAGGCGGCGATGTGGCCGGAAAGGCGCGGACACAGCACGCAGTCATGGGGCGGGTCGACCGCCGGCGGCGCCGTCACCACCAGAGGCCCGGTCAATCGTCCTCATGCTCGTAATCATCGTCCTGGCCGGCCGGCTGGCGGGGGGCGGACCGCTCGGATGGCGCGCGGCCGATCTCCGCTTCGAGCGTCTTCAGATCGATGAAATGGTCGGCATTGCGGCGCAAATCGTCGGCGATCATCGGCTGCGGCGAGGCCATGGTCGAGACCACCGACACCTTGCAGCCATTGCGCTGCAGCGCGTCGACCAGAACGCGGAAGTCGCCATCGCCCGAAAACAGCACCGCATGGTCGATCGAGCGCGACAGTTCCATCGCATCGATGGTCAGTTCGATATCCATGTTGCCCTTGATCTTGCGGCGTCCGCTGGAATCGGTGAACTCCTTGGCCGGCTTGGTGATTACCTTGTAGCCATTATAATCGAGCCAGTCGATCAGCGGCCGGATCGATGAATATTCCTGATCCTCGATCAGGGCGGTGTAGTAATAGGCGCGCATCAGGTAGCCGCGCTTCTGGAAGTGTTCGAGCATCTTGCGGTAGTCGATGTCAAAGCCAAGTGCCTTGGCGGCCGCGTAAAGGTTGGCGCCATCGATGAACAGGGCGATCTTCTCGCGTTGGTCGAACATGGTCGTTCCTTCTCAAATCGCTGACAGTATGTCCGCGGTTTTTCACGCGCGTGGGGCGAAATCAAGATGTTGTGATGACGCTACGTCAATTCAACGCCGGGAATCCCGAATTCGGGTCGGCATGCCGTTTGGAAGGCCGGGTTTTCGCCGCATTGTTGTGGCCGTTGCCGTGCTTGCCTTGCATCGGGACGCGGTGTATATCCCAGCCAACTCCTCCATGCCCGCAAATGCCGCGAAGGAACGCCCATGGCCCGCGTGACCGTCGAAGATTGCATCGACAAAGTAGACAACCGTTTTGACCTCGTCCTTCTTGCCGCTCACCGCGCGCGGCAGGTCTCTCAGGGCGCGCCGATCACGGTCGACCGCGACAATGACAAGAACCCCGTCGTCGCGCTGCGCGAAATCGCCGACCAGACGCTGTCGCCCGGCGATCTCGAAGAAGACTTGATCCATTCGCTGCAAAAGCATGTCGAAGTGGACGAGCCGGAAGCCGAAATTGCCGATGTGGCCGAAACGGCCGATGCGCCGGATGCGCCCGAGCAGATCACCTTCGGCGGCGGCGCGATGAGCGAAGAAGAGCTTCTGGCCGGCATCGAGGGTCTTGTCCCGCCGGAAAAGTCCGACGATTGATTACCGGCGATGCCGCCTTTCGCGGCAGTCGTTTGAATGCCTATATTGAGCGCGTGGACGATGTCGTCCGCGCGCTTTTTTCCGTGAGGTCGCCGGCCGATGATGCGGCAATATGAACTTGTCGAGCGCGTTCAGCGCTACAAGCCGCAGGTCAACGAGGCCCTTCTGAACAAGGCCTATGTCTACGCCATGAAGAAGCATGGCGGGCAGACGCGCGCCTCGGGGGACCCCTATTTCTCGCATCCGCTGGAAGTCGCCGCGATCCTGACCGACATGCACATGGACGAATCGACCATCGCCGTCGCTCTCCTGCACGACACGATCGAGGACACTTCGGCCACCAAGGTCGAGATCGAGGAACTGTTCGGCGAGGACACGGCGCGCCTCGTCGAGGGGCTGACAAAGCTCAAGCGGCTCGATCTGGTTTCAAAGAAGGCTGCCCAGGCGGAAAACCTGCGCAAGCTGCTGCTCGCCATCTCCGAAGATGTGCGCGTCCTTCTGGTCAAGCTCGCCGACCGGCTGCACAATATGCGCACGCTCGACTTCATGCGCGAAGACAAGCGGGCGCGCATCGCCGAGGAGACGATGGACATCTATGCGCCGCTGGCCGGCCGCATGGGCATGCAGGACATGCGCGACGAGCTTGAGGAACTGGCCTTCAAGCACATAAATCCCGAAGCCTATGGCACCGTCTCCGACCGGCTGGCGCAGATCGCCAACCGCCATGCGGGCATGCTCGACGAGATCACAGCAACGCTGCGCGGCCTTCTCGCCGACAACGGTATCCATGCCGATGTCGCAAGCCGTCGCAAGAAGGCCTGGTCCGTCTTCAAGAAGATGGAGAGCAAGGGCCTGTCCTTCGAGCAGCTCTCGGACATTTTCGGCTTCCGCATCATCG